CGATCTCATCCGCCAATCTAAAAATCAGCCATTGTCCTCTGTTGTTCTGCTGTGAGAGAAGTTTGACTGACAGTCCACCAGTTTTCGTCTGTCCGTCCATGGTTGACAACGGTCTCCCCACTGTTGCCAACTTAGCAACTTTGTTGCTAAATTTAAAGATCTTGTAGGCCAAAATAATTGGTATTGGACAAAATCTGAATGACCAGGTCAGTATTTTTAAAGATCGGTGATTAACCAGAAAACTACAATCGGTTCACCCCTTCTACCCAGACATGGCTGAACACTTAAACCAGCAGAACAGACAAAAAGGGCATTGAAGGTGACCATAGACTGGTGTAGAAGGTCACCTCCCAGGAATACGGCAACCCTAATCTAGACTAGTTCATATCAAAGCATAGCTGCTGTTATTATGTGCCTGTTAGATCAAATTAAATTGGAATTATGAACTGTATGTGTTTGGACTCTTAGTTTTAGTTATTTCTTTTACATTTTTTGATAATTTCTTTGTTTAATGTCTTAATAGCTCTGTTATTCTCGTCGTGTTTTGGATTCCTCGTTAGTATTTATTTCTGTTTTGCTGTGCAGCTTTCCTGTCCCTTTCTTTCTCCTTCTTGCTTGTTTACCTTATTATTCTGATGTTGACCCCACATGTTAATCACTCCCATCATTCGCCTCCACCTGCTCCCTTCCCCAGCTGCACCCTCTTACCTCTGATTATTTCCTCCCCTATCATCTCCACTACTTCCATAGAGTCTTTAGGTTTGGTTTATCTCATTGTTCTACAATGGTTCTGTGTTTTGGTACCAGAATTTCTTCTTCAAGTTCTTCATCATCTTCTATTAAACTGTCGTTATGAGACTCCCCCTTCTTTGCGGTTTGATCCGATTCCTGCACTATACATGACAAAAGTAAATCGACGTACTTGATTGTGACATGACAAAATGAAGATTGCATAATACTTTTGCGATCCGTCACGTAGCAATTTATCAAGTTTATTATTCTATTAGGTTCTGAAATTGTGAACTTGTTTCATTTCCTGGAAGCCTCATTTTAAATTTTGCCTGAATGTGTAGAAAGTTACTCGAGTCACTTTGTCTTTCTGTCTCAGTGGGGGTTATTCACCTACAGGGACCTCTGTTGTGGTTCCCATGGTAACGCGGGTCCCCATGAGTCGATGTGCAGCCTGGTTAAAATCCTCCTAGAAAACAATCGACACATGCACACAAAAAGCATACAGACATGATCAAATCCCACAAATATTTGATCAAATAACGATTACATTTCATTGACATTTGACTCGCTCAGAAGTTGAGTTGAAATTAACTCTGGCTTCACTTTTCCTCTTTTAAAAATTGTCATCTAATTTAAATCATATGAAGACATGTCTAGTTTTTTTTGATGATGTAGCCACAAGCATTTCCAAAAATATTAGTAACCATTTTCTAATATTGGTTAGTGTATTATTATTTGAAATATAATTGTATTTTAAATAAAGATGGACCTGCGTAATAGAGACCTTGATTTTAGAAGAAAAAGTTAGTAATCACACCTTCTAAATGTTAGCAAACTTGCTTTCTATGATGGTTAAATATATGACAACTTCCCATAAAGTCACTGATGGGATTTTAAAAAAATTTCACTATGAAATCTTGACAATTGAAGTTTTGATATTTTGATCTAATTAGTTAAATATTCAGAGCAACAAAACAAGATAATAAAGTAATGAAATGACAAATTGTCGTCACTTAAAAACAAGTTCAGATATGATCTCCAGATAATAATAATTATAAGAAGAAGAAGAAGAATAACAAGGCCATTAAGCTGTAGCAGCAAGGTCCAGTATTTCACACAGGGTTTTGTTGGATGGGTTGATTGGTCCGAAGTTTGTGTTTTATGCAGAAAGTAGATATTAATGTCAGGGTTTCCCCCAGTATATCATAAGCCTGGTGGGTTGCCAGGCTTTACTTTCCTCTCCACCAGGCTGAACGTTGTTTGTTTATTTAAAATTTTACATTTTTTGATACGCAGTGAAAGTAAAGACATTAAGCTACGTTTATGGTTTACTGGGATCGCACCAATTGCATAAAACACAGTGTGCGGCTAGTGGACCGCCCACTTAGCAGGGCTTAGCAGGTTTTCTGGAGAAAACCCTGTAATGTCGATATTTCTCTCCAACTACTCCGTTTCCGCAGGAGAGTGAACACCAGACACAGTGAGGAATTATGTAACATTTTTTACTACTCACAAAGGTTGTCAAATTGCGCCCTTTTCTCAGAACCATCATGGACTTCCTCAGCAATTTGAGCTACACTATCTCGTTTAAAAAAGTCGGACCCAGTAGATTCTGACCATTTCAGACCAGAAACGGTTTCAGTTTGGAGATGTTCTGACCCAGTTGTCGACCCATCACAGTTTATCTCGTGTCAAACTCACTTAAATCTTTATTTCTTCCTGAGTTTTCTGCTGCTACTCATGAACTGTGAGCTAAAAAAAAAAAATGAAAAAGGTAACGAGAGTTATTCACTTCACCTGTGGGGGACCATAACATTATCCCTAATTTCTTTCACAATCTAATTCAGAGAGAAATTCCTGTGAGCATTTTCCATTTATGCGAAGCTTTAATATTTTTGGATTTTGTCTCAATGAGAATATGTTTGCTTGAACGGAATTTAACGTTTTTATTGTGTAAAAACGTTCAGAGGAAGAAACACACACACCAAAAAAGGAGGTAAGGACAGTGAAATTCACAAGGTAGAGGGAGATGAGAGCAGAGGAAAAAATAAATGCCCTGAAGCAGAGAGAGAAGCAGAAGTACATCTGAAATAAAGAACTGATAGCCAAGCCTGGGATAGAGAGAAGTCCCAGGGTGGAAGATTGATCTGGCACAGAGGCGCCTGAATGAAAAGAGAAGGACGTGGAGGAGAAAGGGGGAAGTCACTCTCGGCACACACAGGAGCTGATGGGGAGGAATGTAAAAATCCTGATGCTTTGGATGCAGCCAGTTGTATGTATTGCTTCTGAACACGCCGACAAACAAAAACAAGTCATCTTTGGTATGTCAAGCTCCCACTTCCCGAATCCTCACTCTGAAAAGTTCAGACTTTTCCCCGTCACGATGACATGAAACCTCAGCAAAACCTATAAATCTACCCGATCTCAAAGCAAATTTTAATTTAACACACCGTTACGTGTGCGTCTTCTTATAAGCTCGTGGTACGACGTTCAAATAAAATGAAAAAAAAAAAAAACACAGTTGATGAAATGTCACCTTACCTCAAAATGCACTCAGAGCATCTTAATGCCCTGTTCCTCAAAACGTATTGAGAAACTGACAATGTGATGGGTGGGAGACAGTCTGTTTCCTGCGGCGGTTCGCTCCGTCTTCCAGTCTCCTGGCTTTAATTATTAATGTTACATTGACACACCGCATACCGAATGAAGCAAAGGTTATGAGTCACAGAAATATGAGCAGTCCTGTTAAACAAGAGGGAGGAAGATGAATTTAATTAAAGTTGTGATCTTTGGAGAGCAGATATTGCAAAGGATTCTGCACAAAGCACGTCAGTGATGCATTGAACTGCAGTCCGCCTGGGCAGAGATGGAGTCATAGTCTCACATTTCGTTTTCCTCCGTTTGTTTAATAGAAAGAATGTTGGGTACGATGTTGACGCGTTGCTTCTTTTATTTATTTATTTATTTTAGATATTGGCCTACTTCATGATGTCAGACAGGTTACATTGAAGTGATTTCTTGATTCTGACAGTAATCAGGTGTGGATGCGGAAAGTGAAACTAATTTGGTTTCACAGTCTGGTAGGCCGCAAAATGATGAGATTTGTTACATTTTCAGCTAGTGTGGCTCACTTTCACACTGCATTGTGTCAAACAAACCAAACTAATTTAAAACTCTGTTCCTCTCCTCGCCTGTGGGGGCGCTAAAAGAACAACCACTGTAAGAGACGACACTAAAACCACAGAAGAAGGCATGAGCGCAACTTACTTCATCATAAAATGTAAACAAAATGGAGTAATGCCAGATTTTAGCGGTTGTAGGATTTCTCGCTTGTTGTTGGAAAAAGACAACGAACCATTTTGTCTTGCTAGACATGTTTGATTTGGATGTAATTACCCAGAATGCCATGCGCTATAGTCTGCTTCCAACTTTTGGAGCGGTTTCCGTTCCACACTGCATTCGATCTTCACCAGAGTTCATTTGAACCGAACCGAGGTCTAGGTTTTCCTTTTTGGACAGATTTTAATTTTCCAGTCTGCCCTTCTCAAACAAACTGGACTTTCTTGAGATACAAACCAGAATGTGATCAAAGTGGACTGAACAGGGCTGGTGTGAATGCAGCCTAAAAATCAGGTTTTCAAAGAAAATGTGATCAATCATGTTAATTCATGATTCAACAGAAGAGGCAGATATTTATCTTTGTTTTATCTTTTTACTATGAAATTTCTAAAGTGTCTGGACTAAAAATATGATGATGATGATGATGATGATATTGATTTAGCTTTTGCAATATGTTAGTTTGGATAACTTTTCCTTTAAAAAATGAAGTCATTTAAAAAAAACATTTTGTACTTAGATTACCTTTGTCTGATATTAAAGTTTATTTAATCTGCAACTTTTGGAGAAAAAAAATCTTAAAACAATTTGTAATATGGTTTTCCGTGCCGCCTTAGATATGTCACCTTCTTCACAGAGATTCTCACAAGCTTTAAAATCTGTTGAGTGTGATTTATTAATGTTACTCTGAATAATTTCTTTGCTAAAGCTTTTTCTTTCATCATTCAGTAATAAACTCTAGACCAAGTGCTTTTACATTTATCCCCCGTCTAGATATTTGTGATTCCAGAGCAGAGTCAGAGTTCACGTCGGCGAGTCTCTTAACCCGGTCACCCGAACGCTGAGCGAGACGTTTTGTCGGGACCAATCGATGCTACTGTCTTGTTCCAGCTGGAACAGAAGTGATGAGCTCCGTCCGCTTGTCTTTCCAGAGGAACAGTGGAGGCACGCTTCGTCTACGTCTTCGTCCTGGGCATCCTCTTCTCGGGCACCAAGGACCTGCTGAGATCCCAGATCGTCACGGCAGATGCGAAGCTGAAGAGCAGGGGGTTGTGGGAGATTTACGGCGGCCTGGTGCTGCTGGTTTCGCTCCTGTTCCGGGCCCATAACCTGCCGGTGCTGTGCTGCGGACTCCTCATCCAGACGCTCATGGCTCAGTTCATCTGGAAGAAGCTGCACTACGATGCGGCCCAGACCACCATCATGCATTACTGGTTTGGCCAAGCCTTCTTTTACTTTCAGGTAAACTACAAGCCTTCATAATTTTTACAACTTTTTCCTTTACAACTGTGTTTGTTCCCACCTCCAAACTTCACTGTCTCTGTGGTGTTTTTGGCGTTTCATCCTCCGAACACGATGATGAAATGTGTTACGGCATCCAAATAGTTCCATTTTGCTCTCATATGACCAGATTGTTTTCTCCCATTAGTTTTCTCCAAATGTTGTCCAGCAAACTTTAAACAGGCTTCAACATGCTTTTTCTTCAGAAGTGAAATTTTTTGTTTCAAGTCTCTGTACAGTCCATGGCAGTTCAGTCCACTGCTTATTGGTAACAGTTGTACCTGCTGATTCAGGTCTTTCTGAAAGTCTCCACATGTAGTCCTGGGCTGTTGGTCAGCTCTCCTGATAACTCTTTTCGATCCTCTGTCAGAAATCTTGCATCTGGTTGTGGCCGTTCCACAATATAATGATGTTCTTTACGCTTCCAGATTACTTTCTCAACATGTTCAAAAGTTTAAAAATCCTTCTGTAACCAATACCATCAGATTGTTGTGCGACAATAAGGGTGTGAAGGTCTTGAGACAGTTCTTCGCTCTTGCTCATCATGCGACGTTCCTTGTGTGACACCTGGGTAACGACATCTTTTCATACACTGCAAAGACACAAAATATCACAAAGTATTATTACTCTGGTTTCTAGTGCAAATAGCTTAGTGCACATGGAATAAGAGAAAACAAATTTATAAGTCACTTTTTAGCAAGTATGTAGAACTTATTTTAAGTCAATAACTTATTAATATTGATTAACAAAAGAACCAGTTCCTCTGGCAGATTTCACAAAAAAACATGAAAATTGCCTTGTTGTAAGTGAAATAATCTGCCAGTCGAACCAATACTTTTTAAAATCAATATTAACTTAAAACAAGCTCCTATTTCTTGCTGAAAATTTCCTTGTAAGTTAGTTTTGTCTTATTTCAAGTGCACTAGCATACTTGGACTAGAAATTGGACAAAAACATTCAGTGATATTTAATGTTTTAGCAACGTAGGTCATCATCAATTTAGACGGAACCAGCTGATATTCATTACCAACAAGTGGCAAATTCAGTGACATCAGCTGAAATCACTGACTGATTTCATCTGATATCTTGACTTTCCATGCCTTCTCTCACATCCCTTTCTGTGTGTATCATTTAACATTATTACACATAGCTTCATTTCTGAACTTATTTGTTTCTTTTTTCTTCCTATGTATATTTTATGGGTTGTTGCCAACACCTGGTGAACATTTCATGTCATTAACATCTTAAGAAATGTGCTTACTATGAGACATTGTGATGAATTCAGATGTATCTGGTGAGGATGAGGAAGTCGGATCAGCTGAGTTCAGTAGCTGGAAGACCTTACAGACTGTCTACAGTTCATTCATCAGTTCAAATGAACTAAAATGCTAGCAGCTATCAGACAGACATCGTAATTTGTCCTCCACTTCTAACCAACACTCTTCCTCTGATGGTCAGTATGTCTCTTTTTCCTTCCCTTAAATCCAAGTTGCTGGGTTTTTTTTTTTTACAGTCCTAGGGCTAAGGTTTTTTTCTGAGGGAGAGATTGATTGCAGTGGGTGAGGACAGATCCACCTTCCTTTACTTTGCTCCAAAAGTGCTCACTATATCCTGTCTTCATCTTCCATTTGTGGAAATCGTTCCTGTTTTTACTGAGCCCAAATTCTCTTTTAGTTTCCAACACAAGGGTTAAAAGGTTTTGAAATGTTACATTGAACATCAGTATGAACTTTCTTACTTTCAACATTTATAGTTTCTTGCTCTTTAATACATGTATGATGATACACTTAGGCAAATATTTTTCTCTCAAGGTGCCTTTGGTTTGTTGTTGGGATTACTGAACAAAATATGATTAACTCACCTTTTATTATTCATCCAATTTAAGTGTAACAATGAAATTAAAGAGCAGCTGAAGGTAGAAAAATGTAATTATGATTTGATTCTATGTAACATGAGCAAATGTTTTAGTGAAGCTGCTCTGTTCTCTAATGTCAAATTGAACCGACCTCATTATGCGTAGGCTTTGGGATTTTTTTTTTTTAGAGACAAGGCCAGTTTATCTGCAATTTCTACAAAGAAATTCAAAATGCTTTGCCCAATGAAAATATGAAAAGGCAACAAAAGTAACAAAAACAACTAAAGGAAAGTGATGAAAAGTTGGAAAACAGACTCAAATTAATGATGTTCCAGCTGTTATTCATCAACTCTACAACTCTAAACAAGCCCTGATTTAAAGGAACTGTGTTTCAGCTGGTTTGCAGTTTTCTCTGAGTTTGTTTGAGAACGAGCGGGAGTTTCTTAAAGACACAGAGGCCTAATTTCAAGGCGTTAAATTGGAAGTGAAATTAGTTTCAAGTCATATTTGATATAGTATTTTTTTAACAACTGAAGTTAACACAGTTACTTGATTATGCTATAAAAAGTCACTGTGTGCCTGGAAAACACATTTAAAAGTTTTCCATTTCTTTTTTTACAAAATATTTTCAGTAACATCCAGTTTAATATAGTTTATTTTTCTCACCCCAATTAAAACAAATGTCATTCCAAGTTGCTTCAGAAGACAAGTCAAGCTGATATGCAGAAATATATAATCCAGTCCAATCATGTGGACAAATCCAAACTCGGTTAAATACATTCCCGGTGAATCCCGGTTGCGTTACGCTGCAATCAGATTCATTTCTTCTGCCGACTGATTAAAGGTTTTCTCAGGAAGCCTGTAGCAGATTTTTCTACTAGTTTCTACTGACTCAGCTGTGCATCAGGACTCCTCGCCTCCTTATACAACAGGTTGGTCAGGCGGTCGAGTATTTTCGTCTGATTTTCAGAGACGTCTAACTTGATGATCTAGCAGATTCTGTAGACGTTCAGGAAAGCTATCGCCTGTAATAAAAAGCCAGACAGTGTTTGAGGAGCACCGCTGAGCCGCCTCTGTTCTCAAATGAACTCCGTCGCTCTGATAGAAAGTCCAGCGGGGGGAAGCTTGTTTCCAGGCGATGCTTCCCGATGCAAACAGGACTTCTTAATTTCAGCTCGGCCCACAGCAGGTATTTGCTTCACGGCTGTTCGTCGTCGTCGAAGGAGGAACTCGCACGTTGCGAACAGTTCAGTGACCCTCGTCGTCTCGCGGGTCGTTAAGGCCGTGATGGACTCGGGATTACTTCGTCGCCTGACAATTTCCCACCTCTGTGTCCAGGCTTGTAATTATAGAGCTGTGGGGAAAAAAAATGTTCTCCAGAGGACACGACCCTAACGGGTTCGTTAAGGAGCAACATGTGAAATTTAGGCTGGGATGATACAAAAAATGTTGTCGGACATAAAAGTCGAACAAAATGTCATCACAAATCTGATTAGAACTTAAATGGTGATCGCTGGACTCCAAATGAATCCTTCTTTAGATGTTTCTAAAATGTTAACGATGTTTCGTGCCAGAGAATCATGGGAAAAATTCTAGGTTAACTTCATTCCCAGCAAAAAACGAGTGATGAGATGACGACACAAAGTGGTATTTATGCAGCCCATTGTGACAAAGTGGTGTATAAATGTAACCTGGAAGTTAAAGGATATGTTGTTTTGAACATATTAATAATGAGTTATTATGTTGTTGAAAAATGTTTGGATTCAATTACAGCTGCATGTCTGCTTGGCGTTCTTTAGAAAATGGCTCAAGGTCAGTCAGATTACACTGAGAGCACCAGAGAACAGGGATTGTTAAGTCAAGAAAGGAGAAACACACAATACTGAAAAAACACAAGACAAGACTAGTGCAGAAATAGATAAGTAACATTTAAATTCCTGCCAATGGCAAGAACACAAATTGTAGAATGAAAAAAGTGTAGGTGGAAGAACAGGCTTATTATTCCTTCACTTTGTTTTACATAAAGTGTAATGAAAATCAAACCTGGCAGTCCGGTAGGCTGCAGTTGATTAGGGACAAAAACTGAAACATTTGTTACATTTTCAGCTGCTTTTGTGAACTTTCCAATTAGTCAAACCAACCAGACTGATGGAAAAACGTTTTTACCTCCTCACCTGTGGTGGCGCTGCACCAAGAACAGGTCAAGGAAATATGGAGTGAAAATAGTCTCAAAATACCTATACGCGTGTAATGCTGGATTTGTAATCCATGAAAGCCTCTTTGTGTGTAAATTTGGATAGTTGTATTTGGTCAAATGTTTAAAAATTACGAATACAAAATAAAGGCACAAACACACAATTATAATTTCTATAAACATTAAATTCCTCCATGCAGATTTTTTAACTTCAACCTCAGAAATCTGATAATTACGAATTCAAACCTTCTCCTAAATTACTCCCGCTAACAGAAAAACATGAGGAGGACAGAGCATCAAACTACCAGACATATAGAACATGACCACATATTTACAAGAACCCGGAGTTGTGCACAAGTTTTCTTTTTACGGTTTACAAATCATGTTTCACAGATACAACTATGCAAAGTTACACACAAAGATGCTGACACGGGTTACAAATCCAGTGTTACACAGGAACAAGTGTTTTGAGAATATTACGAAATGTAAACAAATTCAGATTTTAGCGGCTGTAGGACTGTTTGTTTTGGTTGTATTTGCCCAGAATGCCCTCTGCTGTGGTTTTGCGTCCTGCTTGTGGAGCGCTCTCTTGGTGTTCTGCATTCACTCCAGAGTTCACTTCAACTGAACCGAGACCTGGGATTTTAGGCGGACCATTTTCTGGTCCATTCACACCGTCCCAAACAAACTGGACTCTCCAACCAAACAAGTTAGATTATGCCCAAAGGTTTGTGGCAGATTCTCAATATGTGGCTGTATATTTAACTGTTTAGCTTCATCAATATTCCCATCTAACATCAGAAACTTCCCCGTCCCTGGTGAAGAAAAGCACGGCTCTCTCTTCGCTGTGTATCAGTTTAAGTGGACAAGCGAGTTTCTGCCGGTTTCCGCTTGTCTTTTACTCTTTCTGTTTGCAACACAGACCAAACAAAGAAATGTTCAAAAGCAGATTTCTTTACAACCTAACCCGACTTTCACCTGTCCACAGCATCATCCTTTCTCTGCCGTGGTGGGCTTCATGTACTCTGTCTAGGTGACTTTAGAAAACAGGATTTTAATCTGTGTTGTGCATAATAAAATCAGTATAAAACAGGATATAGATTTGTAGCTCCACTTTGACAAAATATTAAAGCTAATGTGAAACTTCATCTCGGGATCCGTCATCTGAAAACCAGATGATGCGGAAAGTAGCAATAAAAGCAGAAATTTGCATTTTTTCCCCACTTTTTCTTCCTGTCTGGTTCAGACTCCATCAAACAGATGCATCATCCAGCCCTGCTGGCTCACATCCTTCATTTGAGGTTCTCCCCCCCTCAACTCCCCTCCTTTGAAACATCTCGCTCTTCTACATTTTCAAAAGCAATAAATATTTGCCATTTGTGAGAAAAAAAAAATGACATTGAAAGCAAAACAGTGGGACTTCCAACAAGAAAGCAAGAAGAGAAGCATCTATATGCAGCCTCCAACCTGCTCACTCACAGCTACTGTTTGTTTAGAGCGGAGCCAGCTGTTTGCGTCTTCCCCCTCCCTGATCACAGACGTGCGCACAGATGGAGAAGGAATTGTTAGTTTGCGAGACGCTGCCCGGCAGATCGCCGCCGTGTTCAGAGAGAGACAGAGTCACGTTCTGATCTTCACAAGTTTGGCCTGTTGGAGAGCAGGAAACGGGAGAAACAAACGTTCCTGACAGAAGCACAACCGGTTCATGAATGCAGTTGTCGTTCATTATAAACTGAAATCAAAATAAAAAGCCAGTGTGTATGGAAAACAGTTTATTTTAGTTTTGGCTTATGTGGGTTTAATCGCAATGTTTTCAACAGAGCTGTAATGGTGCGCAAGATGGAGCAAGAAGATGTGAACATTTGTGGAACTGATGTTAAAAGGGAGCTATTATGCAAAATTCACATTTCGCGCTTTTGTTTACTTGCATTTGGATTTCTACTGCTTCTAAAAACAGTTCAAGTCATTTTTGGGACAAGAACTTCATGTTTTTTTTTGTGTTTGGAAAATGAGCCGTTTCAAAAACCTTCTGATTGTGAAGCTACAGCCGCCAAGCACTGCACCATCACCTAGCAATGGTTAAAAGAGCCATTGGTTTAACTGCTGTACAACGGCTGCTGGAAAAGACAAGTGTTTTGTTGTTGACGTATCATTCAGAAACAACTTGCTGCATTCCTGTTTGTTTTGCAGGAGGCTCCACTTCTGCTTTTCAAAGATGTGCCGTCGTCCAATCGCACATCTCTTTGCAGCCGTTTTCAGATGTGGGTGTAAATGTTGAGTTGGGGGGCGTGGCCAGCAGCAGCTGACTTGGACTTAAAGTGACCAGATGCCGTAAAGCAGCTTTTCTGATGGGCAGAACGGAACTCTCATTACCTCAGAATGATTTTGTGTAAAAATATGGGTAATACTTTATTTGAAGGGGGTTGAATAAGACTGACATGACACTGTCATAAACACCTGTCATGAACATGAATAAGCCTTCATAAATATTTATGACTGTTGTCATAAAGCGTCATTCGGTAAATTATGACACTTTTAATACAAAGTTGACATTATTCAAAATGTCTTTGTTATGACAACTTAACATTAACCAAGAAATCATTCATCCATCCATCCATTTTCTGAACACCCTTGTCCCTCAGTGGGGTCGGGAGGGGTGCTGGTGCCTATCTCCAGCTAACGTTCCGGGCGAGAGGCGGGGTACATCCTGGACAGGTCGCCAGTCTGTCGCACCAAGAAATCATTACTGATATCAATTTGTTATAAAAGTATTACTGATTGCACTTTAAAAATTAGGTAACTTTATGTTATTAAAGGTAAAGTTTTAACAGTAATGATTTATTAGTTAATGTCAAGTTGTCATAACAGACATTTTGAATAATGTCAACTTTGTATTAAAAGTGTCATAATTTACCGAATGACGCTTTATGACAACAGTCATAAATATTCATGAAGGCTTATTCATGTTCATGACAGGTGTTATGTCATGTTTATGACGGTGTCATGTCAGTCTTATTCAACCTCCTTCAAATAGTGTTACCAAAATATGTAATAAACATGTCTTATATAACCAATTGATCTGTCCTAACACGTTCAAGGAAGCGTAGTAGGTCACCTGTGTTTCTAAAGCAAAAAAAAAAAAAAAGCGCATTTTGCTTTAGAGAAATGTAGTTGTAAATGACAAATCTCTTTTTTATTCATTCTTTCAAGTTTTTTAAGACTTTTGTGTCTAATATGTTCTCTACTGCATAGAATTTGGAAATGTTTTTGTTAAGATTGCTCCCTTTTTTTGTTGTTGTTGGCAAATATACAAGAAAACATTTCCAATTTGTCCTGAGTGGTTTAACCTCCAGCCCAGCGCCTGCTGATTCGGTCAGGGACGCAAAAACAACTGGCTCGCCGGGAAGTCGGCAGCGTCTCGGAGTGATAATTAAAAAGCGAAAGGAGTCGTCGGTTCTTTAAGTGCTTCCAGCCACCGATCATCGTGTGCACTTGTTTTTGTCTGTACGCAGTCATTTCTGCGCTCTCATCAGGGCTCTAAAAGGTTTGCTTTATGCACCCGCAGGGCAACTCCAACAACATTGGCACCGTCGACATTTCTGTGGGCTTTGTTGGTCTGGAAAGCTACATCGAAGCGCCTGCCATCTTTTTAACAGCTCTCAGCACTTACGCGGGTCCCCTGCTCTGGGCCTGTCACCTTGTCTGCTACCTGAGCTCGGAGAGAGAAAGGTAAGTGTCACTTACAAAGTCGATACATGGCAGAGATTTTTAAGTGTTTGGTGCTGAACCCCAGGATTTTCTTGGATAGAGGGGAAACGTATAAGCCTTTCACATAAAACGCGGCTGCATCTGCAACTAAATCTTATTAAAGAAAAAAAAAAGGAAATTAAAGTTGGTTGCATTCAGGTTGGTTATTTATTCTGCTGTGAAACTATAAGGCTAAAAGTCCCTGTTACTTTGCATCCAATATGTGTTAGAAAATGAATGAACCAAGTTGCAGTTGTAGGAAAGACTTTCTCTTTATTTTCTTCTTAATTTTGGTTGAAGTTCTATCTGTTCAGGTTATATCAGTTCAGAAAATAATTTAATCTTTCTAAACTTTTCACGTAAAGTTTATATATGTAAATACCCACTCTGCCGATGATCTGTCAGAGTCGACGTGAACCGAAATGCCAAATTCTGCAGCTCATCTACATGCTGTGGTTGTCAAAGTCAAGCTAGCTTAGCTGACCTACTTCCCTCTCCCTCTCTGTTTTATTTTACTAAAACTTTTTCCTGACCTTATCTAGTTTTTGTTGTGTTGACAATTAGTATTGCGTCTCTTTTTCTTTTATACATCACACATACATTTAAGATTCAGCGCGTTATGTTGACAACTCAACAGATAAACCAGTGATCGTTACTGTTTTGGAGCAGTTTTTTCTGCTGCAGTGTGTCCATGGTGGGTTCCACTGGTTCTGGTTCAGGTTGTAAAACAGATTGGCGGTATTCCCCGACATGCGCTCAACACCGTTTGCTGTGCACGATGCTTTGTTTTTGTCCGACTTTAAATACCCACAATACTAGATTGACTAGTCGACTGAACTGTTCAAGCCCTTCTTTTGTGTATTCCATCTGTTCTTCCTTCACGGCACTCTCTTCTTCAGGGCACTCTCTTCTTCAGGGCACTCTCTTCTTTTTTCCCTGTTACCTGAATTAAGAGGCTACAGCTGCACACTTTATTTGTAACTCTGTGTTGTTGCTTTTTTTTTTTTTTTCCGCTACCAAAATATTTCCAAACTGCTACAGTTTGCATTTGTGAGCATAAGAAGTGTGGTAGCCTTTGCTAACCCAACCGAAAAGCAGCGTGCTGCCACTTTATGCCACTTAATGGTACTTTATGCTTCACACAGCTGGAGAAAACAATAAAAAACACCTGCCTGTACTCTGGTGTCTCCTCTGAACGGACTACAAGCTGCTAAGTTGTGTGTGGAGGTGGTGGAGGATGACGGGTGGAGGAGGGGAGATCCGATTATTTAAATATTACTGACTGAATGAGGAAAAACAAAACACATTCATTCCAGTTGAAACGCACTGAACTGCCTTCTCACTTGAGATTTTCCTGATGGCCTCAATTTTAATTCTTACTTTGAGGTAACTTACAAAGATTTTCTGGAATATATGATTTTTATATCAAAAAATAGCACAAAAGTTAACTTGTGTGTGTGTGTGTGTGTGTGTGTGCACGAACGCAGCCAATAGCCAGGGCTCTCCCGCAGCATGAGGCCCCCATGCACAGTGCTGAGTGATGAGGCTTGTATCGGTCCTAACAGCTGTTCTGATGCCGAACGCCAAAACTAAAATGAAGCAAAAATAGAGACAAAGATGCTCCGGGTGTGAAATGAGTTAGGCAGTCTTTAAAATGCCAGGAGCAGAAACGAGAGGCTCCAGACTTCTGGTCTGATCAACAAGGTGTTTCAGCACCGGTGTTGTTGGTGCAAGGTGAGCTGGACCCACAGGTTCTGTCCGTTCTTTTATTCTTCCTTTTGTTTATCCAGCTGTTTAGTTATTATTTCCTCCAGAGTGTCATCTTAAACTTAAGTCTTAAACTTATGTGTCAGTTTTAGCTTAACTGCTGCTCTAAATATGTTGTTTGTTTCAGTCATTTATTTAAATTTCAGCTCCAGTGGTTGACGATTAATCGATTCATCAGGATTAATTGTTTCAGCCCTCGTCACATGTAGGGTCATTTTTGAGCGTAAATTCTGCCCAGTATAGATTCAGGAAGGTATATTCTGTGCTGTGTATTGTAAGCCTGGCGGGCCACCAGGCTTTACTTGCTCCCCCACCAGGCTAAGTGATGTTTTTTTATTTATTGGATGACTCAATGAGCTGGGTGTGTGGTGGCGCTCACCAATCGCGTCGCTTTGTACCTCCCTGTTGGCCTCCCATGCTATTATTTCTAAATTATGATGCTGACTTATGCTCCTCTAAATTTTTTTAACTTTTAATATTTTTTAATACAAAAACACTGGGCTGCTGGTGGACTGCCCTGCCACCTCTTTCAATTGGATAAGAGAGCGTCTCGCGCACATTGAAGATGAGTACGTTCTTTCCAGTAACATCAACCCAAACTGTGTCACTCAATGGAGTTTAAAGTAAAAGTTTGGAGTTGTGACCTGAAAATTGTTGGATGTCTGAAAGTAACTCGAGGAAAAGGAAACCGTTGAAGTTCGGGAACCAAAGGCAATTTACTCTCTGGTGTAGATCAGATTCTGGGAGGCAGTGAAGGAGACCGCTGGTGTTGGATCGTTTTCTGTGCTTTCATCAGAACCTTGACCATCGGTTTCATTTAGCGAGTCATCCCCGAACGGGGCTGCCTCCACAACCTGACTGCAGGAAGTTTCCCCGTGTTTCCTCTCCCGGCGCACTTAACATTAAATCCAGCTTTAATACGTTACACGCCGGATTATAGCGGCGGGCAAAAGAAGCGAGCGTCACTCCTTATTATCCCTTATTACTCGCAACGCAGCGCTCCCCTGCAGCGGCCCCGGCTGCATTATGCACTAAGAGATATTGTGACGAATGAAACAAAAAATAGTCCGAGTTCATTAAGGATTCACTCTGCAGCATCAGCAGATTGACCATAAAGGAGGGGAGGAGGAAGTACTGGATCAGCGGCCGCTCTGCTGGTTTCCTTCAAGCTGCGTCATTATTTAAACAAATCGTTGCTTTAATCTGCAAATCGTTGCTTTAGGGAAATATTTAACCGTTTCATTGAAGTTTTGTTTGTTAAAAATACTCATTAAAAAGCCCAGTGGCAGATTCACAGTGAGTGAGTTGGTCTTCTTAGGGCGTTTAAGTTGTTTTGTAAAGGTGGAAACTGGCGATATTTGTCGTCCATCTCATTTAGTGAGTTGGTAAAAAGGAAAACGGCGAGACTGAAACCAGCTGAAAGAGATTATAAAACATTGATGACTCAGGAGGAGTTTTTGGAGTGACTCACCAGAGGAAACTTTCAGCTGCGGCTCGGCGGGCTCCGGTAGTTTTGGTTCTGCAGAACCGGACTCACCAAGCCGGTCCGGGGTGGGGGGGGTCAGCTGACATCACAGCTGGGAGAAGAGTCACCTGATGAAAAGAATCAATAATAATCCAATCTGAACTGATGGCTGAACTCATCGATTATGGCGTCAACGTAGGAATTGACATGATGTCATTGAAGCCACGCATGTTTTTGATGTATTGATCGTAGCAGGACATCCGATCAATTGATATCTAATTCCAGCCTCTGCATTAAGATTGGATTAGATTAGAAATATTCAGTGTTATGTTTTCAGTTTTTTGGGTTGTTTTTTGTTGTGCTGGGTGATATTAAAAATTTAAATCTCAAATGTTTTTCCTACCAGATCTGATTTTTCTTTTTTTTTTCCTCACTTGCTTTCTTTTCTAAAAAATAAATGATGAAAAATATTTTCAAAAAGTAACTTTTTGAAAATAAATCATGCCTTCTGTGTGCGTCAGAGTATTAAGGCCAGACTGCGAAACTTTCTGCTTAAATATGGGGATACAGTCGCAACACTAGCCAGAATAAAGATGCAATTTTACCAGAAAAAAAGGATATTTAAATTACAAGAAAAAAGTAGTTGTAATGAGAAAAGAGCTTTTAGATCTTCCTTCCTTCGAAATAGACGCAGCTGTTTGTGTGATTGGTTCAAAGTTATGACAGTTTGATGCTGATGTGTTGAGTGTTTATGTTGAGTATTATCTCTTAAACTTACACTAAAGTATGACTTCACAAGATGCTCGGCATTCTTCATTTAATTTTATTTTATTGATTTTGTAGTAGTACTAGTTCCACTGGTAGATTAAATATCTATCAGTAAAATAATCTGCCACTGAAACTAGCACTTTTTTGTGAAAATTAAGGAATTCTTGACTTAAAACAAACACTCATATCTTGCTGAAAAGTTACCTATAAGTTATTTTTTATATATTTTAAGTGCACTAACATCCCTGCCCTAAAAGCACTTGGTAAGATTTTGTGTTTTAGCGGCGCACCTTCTCCAGCACCTGCTGTGTCATTTGTTTGTGCAGATTTAAAGCAGCCTTCCTGTCAGCAGCAGAGCACTTCCTGTTCCAGGTGGTAATGGAGGAGGTGGGGAAGGGGGAAGGGTGCACTTCAGCTTCCAGTGGGGTAAAAACTCCCATCAATACTGGAGTGCTGTGAGGACAGTTTGCTTCAGACTCTTGAGGATACACAGTTGCTAATGGGCCTTCTTTACGACACTCACTCTGCATCATTTCTTTTTTTTTTTTTCCATGAGTTACTTAAAAACAGGAGACAATTTCCACCACCGCCTCCTCGATAACAGAGGGGAGAGGCAGTGCAGCGTCCGCAGGCCTCTTCTCCTGCTCCCCCCCAACACACTGATGCAGAGGCTGTTTACTCTGCGCCGGTCCACAGGTTATTTTACCTCCTGCTGTTATGATGACTCATCAGTGCAGAGTGTGTGTCTCGCCAATCAGCATCAGATTGGCACAAACATACAACTGGATTCAAGCTTGGAAAAAACTGAACAATTGAAAAAATTGAATCAAAACTTTCAACAAAGATTGATCAGTTGAGCTCAGGGTGTGGCGATGATTGACAATAATCACTAAGAGGTGTGAGATACGTCTGTTTCAATACCGATACCAAGTAAATACAGGGACCGTATCGCCGATACCGATACTGATACTGATACTTTTTA